AGTGGCATGGTGTTCTGGGTAGTCACAAAGCCCACCTAGACTCAAAGGGAAGAGTTGTCAACACCCAATGGAAGGAATGTCAAAGAATTGGTGGGTTTTATTAATATACCATGTGGCACAACAGCCAAACCTTTGAACAACCTGGGAAGAATGGGGCCCAGCCCACAAGTACTTCTGTCACTTGCCACATGATAGCCTCTTAAATCTAACATTTCACCTCTGCAACAAAAAAAGTCAGAGCACTGTCTCGGTTATCTCAAGCACCCAGACATCAGTGTGAAGAGGCAGCTTCCTTCAGGCACTCCTATCAGTGCTTGGGTACTTCCCCTGAACCCTGCTACAGTCATCCAGGGTGCATCATACCGCCATGCCCCCACAAGTCCCAGCAGTCATGGAGTTTCCAAGACTCTCAGGGCCTGGAGAAACAGCCATTCTCTTTGTGACACTTACCACGTTGCAGCTGAAAATGTTCTAATTTATTCATATCATGGAGTTGAAGAAGTGCAACTCTTCAGGGCTGAGGCAACCAAGAGATAGGCTGGTTCTTTGAAGTAGATTAGCAAAGAGGAACCCCAGCAGTGCTTCCTGCAGCCCGTGAGAGCAGTCATTGTTACAATTCATGTCATCTCCCCTTCAGTGGTCTTGAGCCTCCCATGCTGGCTGCCTCTACTTCCCCAGGGAGAATTCTGGGGTGTCCCCATAAGCTTCCTCTCTGAGCCCTGGTTTCAGGCTTCAGAATGGAGTGACCTCAGCCTGAAATGAGGTGAAATGAGCCAGAGAGTTCTTGGAGTGATCTCAGAACTGTTGGGTACAAGTTTGCAATGTAGTAAGGATAGAGACTGAGAATAGGCATTTTGGATTTTTTTTTTTTGGTGGGGGGGGTACTGGGGAATTGAACCCAGTGGCATGAAATCACTGAGCCACATCCCCAGTCCTTTTTATTTTGCATTTTGAAGCAGGGTCTTGCTAAGTTTCTCAGGGCCTTGCTAAGTTGCTGAGGCTGGTTTTGAACTTGTCCTCTTGAGCTGCTGGGATTACAGGCAGGTGCCACTGCACCCAGTTATGTTTTGGAAACTTTTATAGCAACTTGACAGAGTAGTTTTATGACTGTCACATCTAATAATAGAAAATGGGACTTGAATTTTGAATGTCTTTGGTTTTTTTTTTATTTTACTGCTACACAAAAAATAAAAAGTTGTACATATTGATGGGATATCATGTAATGTTTGATATATGCATATATGTATCATGTATAATATGTCCTTTAAACGTTATGTCATCATGTAAACATTGTGTAATGATTAAGTCAGGTTGAACATATTTACCTCCTCAAATATTTATCACTTTGTGTGTGTGTGTGTGTGTGTGTGTGTGTGTGTGTTGAAGACTTCCAAATCCCTTCATTTAACTTTTTGAAATGTTCAATATAGTCAACATACTGTGCAATAGCACCCCAGAGCTTCTTTCTTCTATCTAACTGTAACTTGACGCCCATTGTTCAATCTTTCCCTATTCTTCCCTCGCCTTTGGTTTGTTTTTTAATTTTATTTTTCTAGTAATTAGTTTTTTAATATATATTTTTTAACTGTAGGTGAACATAATCCCTCTATTTATTTTTACGTGGTGCTGACGATGGAACCCAGTGTCTCACACATGCTAGGCGAGCACTCTACCACCGAGCCACAACCCCAGCCCCTAGTTTTTAGTGTACATTACAAAAATATCAGTGTTTGGTCGAATGGAAATTGATAAACTGGGTCCTTCACCACAGAGTTTATTGTATTTTAGTGTGCTAATTATATCATACATGATCACATCCTTTTCAGGAAATCCGGGCTCCTCATTCTTAGGGTTCTATTGACTCTGTTCACCATCTTTACCTTAAACAATGGTATCACACACAATCATGATATGATCTAATGTGCTCTAGAGGACCTGGGAAGTGAATTGCCTTTAGCCAACTGCCAAATTCCTGAAATGAGATGACAGCAGGACAGGCCAAGAGATGAGCCACCTTTGATGCCTAGGCTTAGAGGCAGGAAGGAAAAACCTCAGACCCACTTTGGTTATTCGCATGGTGAAAAAACCATTTTGGGCATTTATCAAGTGCCAACACTGAAGAGTGTTTTACTGTGTTCTCTCACTAAATCCCTACCAGCACCCTGGGAATTGAACATTTTTATTTCCATTCTTCATGTGAGGAAGCCAAGACAACTTACTCTGGGTCACAGGGCTTTAAGTATAAAGAACTAAGTCCAAGTCCAGGAGGGTTTCCTTTAATGCCCACAGCCTAAGAGAATAGTGTTTTAGAAGGAAGCTTCCTCCTCAGTCTCCTGTGTTTAGGCAACACAGGGAATGAGACAGGGTCCTCATCTGTATGTTGGGTTTTAAGTTACACATTTCTTCCTGAAGCCAATAAATGGATTTAAGAACTGTGGGTCCTCCTGTTCTCTAGGGCAATAATAAATCTATATCAGCTGCCATTTTGGTTCAGCATAAGAATCTCAGGGCTATTCTGTGTTTTTAAAATATCCACCAAAGACCAGAGAATGTCTTCCCTGATGTGAGCCAGCAGCTCTGTACCAGGAGCCCCAGGATTCCTGCAGAGGCAATGTGCTGAGGGGCACAGTGGAAGGTGAGCGTCCCCAGGTGGAAATACACAGCAAGCCAGAAATGGGATACACTGCACCTGCCACAGAGAGGCAGAGAATCATTGCCCCAGCCCTATAGAGACCAATGAGAACCAAGTCTGACTCATACATTAGTTTTATTCTATGATCATCCAAAGTTTTGCTGAGTGTTTGGGCAGGAGGATGAAGAAATGGAATTGCCTTTTGTAAAGGGAATGACTAAGAGCATGAGATTTGAGTCTTGCTTTGCAAATTCATTAATGAAGTGCGTGATCTTGGGTAGAAAGCTATTCAACCTCCCCAAGGCTCCATTTCTTAACCGTAAAATGAGGGTGTGTTATGAGGCATAAATTAGATGGCATAAGTAAAACATGCAGTGTGGGATGGAGTCTGAAGAAAACATGAACACTGGACATTGTTACCCTTTTTTCTACGACTCTTTTATACTTATTCTTCTTTCACAGCAAAGTTGGCCCGAGATGACCAAATTCACATTCTCAAGCAGCACAGACGTAAAGAATTGGAAACGCGGCAAAAACAGTACCGGTGAGTTATGACGTTAGATCAAGTTGGCCATGTGCCATGGTTTCTTCCCTCTCAGGTGCATGGTGTTAGATAAACCCTGATCATAGCTTATGACCCCATGCTGCAGGTAAGTCACGAAGGCACCAGCTCTCAGTGGTGGTGCCACAATCACCAAGCTTCACATTACCTACCATTTTAGGCAGAAATGGTGAAGAGGAAGAGACTTGTGGAAAAATCGTGAGACCAACCATGTTGTCTGTAGCAGGAAGATGGTAGCAAAAACTCCAGTTTATCTAAAGTTTTCCCACCTGCTGTGATAGGGGTTGCCCTCAGCTTTTGTGTCTTCTAATAATACTTCATACATGTAAGTGATACATGATCTATAATGAAACTGACAAACCTTATTTCCCTGACCAAGAAAAGGAGAGGGCTCAAATTAATAAGATTCAAAATGAGAGGGAAAAAGTCAATAACAATCACAGAGATTAGATTTAATAATAATAATAATAATAAAAGAATACTGCCAGGCATGGTGGTACATGCCTGTAATTTCAGCTACTTGGAAAACTGAGTCAGAAGGTTGACAAGTTCAAGGCCAGCCTCAGACAATTAGCAAGACACTGTCTTAAAATAAAAATAAAAAATTTGAAGGCCTAAGGGTGTAGCTCAGTGGTACACCCCTGAATTTAATCCCTAGTACTACAAGAATAAAGGAGGGGGGAACAGCATGAATATCTGTATGCCAACAAATTAGTCAACTTAGTTGAAATCCTAAATAAATATCAAACTATCAAACTGACTTAGAAAGAACTAGATAATTTGAATAAATAACTCATAAGGAAAGAGATTAATAATTTTACAAATTTCTACAAATAACAACCCAGATTCAGAAGGCTCCACTGGTTGAATTCTGTCACATATTTAAGAAATTAATACCAATCTTGCATAAACTCATCATGATTTTTACAATAAGTAAAAACCATTCATAGGTATCATATCAAATCGGACAAAGAAAGCATAAGAAATGATCAATAATATACTAAAATCTCATATGAATATCGGTGTAGATATTTTCAACAAAATACTGCCAAACCAAATTTATCCATGTATAAAAGGAACTATTCAATATGAATAGATAGTCCTTTGCCCAGGTAAACAAGTTTAGTTTAACAACCCAAAATCAATTGTTCTAATAATATATTGTATCAATAAAGAAAAACAAAACAAAAGAACAACAACAACAAAAACCACTCTACAACCCCATTTTATAGATAGACTAAAAGAATTTAAAATTTAAAAAAAAAAGTTTTCATGATAAAAATACTAAGTAGTAATTAAAAAGAATTCCCTTAACATGACAAATGACATCTACATAAAACTCATAGTTAACATCAGTGTCTTGGGTAAGACTGAATGTTTTCACCTAAGATTCAGGAACAAGATAATGATGTGCCGTTTGCCACTTTTGTTCAATCTTGCACTAGGTGGTGGGTCTATCCTGGTTAGTAACTGAAGAAAAATAAGAAATGAAGATACCTATACTGGAGTACAATAAGTACAATAAGTAAAAACCATTCATAGATGACACAATTGTTCATATAGAAAACCCTAAGAGAATCACCAAAAGAGAAAGAAAGAAAAAAACGGTTAGAAGAAATTAACACTGCAAAGTTAAAAGCTGAAAGATAAATGTAGAAAAATCAATTATTTTTTTTTCTATATTCTAGCAACCAACAATCTGGAAATAAAAACAAATAAAAGATTTCCATGTCAAAATGAGTAAACTATTTATGAATAAATTTAACAAAAGTAGTTCAAGACTTATACAATGAAACTCTAAAAAAATGTTGAAAATACTTGAAAAAGACCTTTATAAGGTGAAATATATCTCGTGTTCATCAAAGGACTTAATTTTAGTTAAAATGGCACTATTACCCCAAATGATATACATATACAGTGCAATTTCTATCAAATGCCAGCTAGAATTCAGATGGAAATGCAAAAGACTCCAGATACCCTAAGAAATTAAAAAGCTAAAAGAAAACAAAGTTGTAGGACTTACACTACTAACTACCAAAATTACTATACCGCCATGGTACTCAAGAAAATGTGATATTGGCCTGGTGTGGTGGCACGTGCTTGTAATCCCAGCTACTTGGAAGCTGAGGCAGGAGGCACACGTTCCAGGTCAACCTGGACAACTTAGCAATAGTCTGTCTCAAAA